TACCTGTACATACGATTGTCAATTTGTATATTGTTATTCCCTATTTACTTGTTCTAATTTTATTTGTATTTATTTTTTTCAAATAATATAATAAAAATTATAAATAAAATAAAATAATAAATAAATAAATAAAATAATAAAAAGGTAACTTTTTTGTTTTATATGATTCCAAGTTTTTGTGAATAAAAGTGTCAACTAAAAGTCAAAATATTAAGTAACAAGTAGCATTTCCCTTAAAATCACTCCTAAAAATCACAGTGGAAAATGCTGAGTCTCATTTAATAAACAGCAATTTAATCAAATAAATAGGTCTAGAAATTCTAAAGAATATTGTATTAAATCAGAATTTTACATCACTATTTTATTATTTTATTCCTTTATGGAAAATACAATTTCTTCTTCTTATTTTTTTTAAAATAAAATATTTTATTATATTTTATTTTATTTCATGTATTATTTGTATTATATTTATTATTGATTCATCAGCAAAGTTGTATTGGACAAAAGTGTCAGCTAAGTTATAAAAAAAAACTAAATGTATATATATATATATACAAATTTTTTTTTTTGTAAGAATCCAAGTTGTATGTCACTGGTTGAGAAGTTCATGAACCTCTTGTGTTAACTCAGTCAAAAATAATGATTATTTTATTTTATTTTAATACATGAACATGAACCTCTTGTGACATTAACCCTTACCCAGTCAATAAAATTGATTTCCATTTCTAAATCCTCTAACGTATGCACACGTGAAAAGAAAGATTGACTAAATGTCATGTATCCCGCAGGAAGGGCTACAGGACTGATGCCACGGTGTCGGTGCTGCTCGGCTTCCTCCTCTTCCTCATCCCGGCTCGAAAGCCCTGGACATCTGCATTCTCCAGCGAGAGCAAAGGTCAGATCCCACGCCGCGCTACAGTGCAGCCGCAGCGCAGTCATTCGCTCAGCAGGGTCTAGTGTCTCCAGGACATGAGAGTAAAGGTGAATGTTCTCCACGGTTTGGTAACCGCTCTTCTCTCTGTGATCCGTGCAGGTGATGATGACGATGAGGAGGAAGAGGATCCTCTGGCCCCCATGATCACGTGGAAAGACTTCCAGAGACTGATGCCGTGGGAGATTGTTATTCTGGTGGGAGGAGGATACGCACTGGCTGCCGGATGCAAGGTGAACAATATTATTAGGCCTATTATTGGAAACATTATGATTTTTTCATTATGACTCATTGGCCTACTGTAATGTAAAACAAATTAATTCCCATTATTGTAATGCTGGAAAGAATACATATATTTTTTTATATTTTAAAGTATACATAATGGTAGTATTTGTTGTACTGAATCTGATTTTAATGAAAAACAATCTGCGTCCAGACAAGTAATGAGAATTTAGGTGAAAACGTGATTACTTGTCATAAAAATATTGTCAAAATGCAGTTTTAATGGTCTTCCTTTTATTTTATTTTATTTTAATTTAATTTTTTATGTGTAATATGCACATCTAAAAATCACAGCGGAAAATACTTACTAAAATAAATAGATCTTTAAGTTCTAAAAATTTTAAATAATAATTTTAAATCAATATTTTATTATTTTATTCCTTTATGAAAATGTATTTTATTTTATTTTATTTTATTTCAGTGTAACATGACTCAAAGATTTCTTTGCAAGATTCACCAAAAAAGTTGCATTGGATATAACAGTGTCAGCTAAATTTTTATTTTATTTTATTTTATTTTAATATTACAATGTAATATGACCCAAACATTATTTGCAAGGTTAACTAACAAAGTTGCATTGGATAAATATTTTATTTTAATTTTTTTATGTAAGATTTCAAGTTAAGAGTCAAAATAAGAGTCAAAATATTAAGTAACAAGTAGCATTTCCCCTAAAAATCAGTGGAAAATCTCATTTAAAAATCAGCAATTTAATGAAGAAATATATATTTTTTAAGAATATAATCTCAAAAAATATTGCTTTTAATTATGATTTTACATCACTATTTTATTAAAGAACTGCTATGTACCATCAGATTATTTTCTAGAACAAACATGCCCTATACGTTAACTTCTATATGAACCATGTGACGTCTCTGGTCCAGGTGTCCGGTCTCTCCATGTGGATCGGTCGGCAGCTGGAGCCGATGAGTGGTCTTCCTCCGTGGGCCGTGACGCTGCTGGCGTGTCTCCTGGTGTCCGCCGTCACCGAGTTCGCCAGCAACCCAGCCACGCTCACAGTGTTCCTGCCCATCCTCTCGGCCCTGGTCAGCTAACACACACACACACACACACACACACACACAAACACACACACACAAACAAACAAACACACACTCTCACACACACACACACACACACACAAACAGATTGAAGTGTTATTATTTGACAGCGGTGTTCTGACCGTGTGTCTCCTGTCCCTCACAGTCCGAGACGCTGCACATCAACCCTCTGCACACACTCATCCCTGCCACCATGTGCGTGTCCTTCGGCGTCATGCTGCCTGTTGGAAACCCGCCCAATGCCATTGTGTTCAGTTACGGACACGTGCAGATCAGCGACATGGTATGAAACAACATTAGCCTGTTTATATCACCTCTGTCCCGTCTCACAGCTGTGCCAGGAACGCCATGTCGAAAGGCCAAACCATTAATCATGTTTTTCAGAAGCTAACTAAGAGTGAAACAGGTGCCTGGTCCATTTCCAAAAGTACAGCATGTCAGAGAAATAATGTGCTTAAGTGTTAATGAAATGAATTGTGCTAAATTAATTAACATTTAATATATTTTAGGATGTAAATATGCCTTCAGAAAGGTAACAGGGCCGATGGTAACTAGGATTGCAATTTTAATATGGCAAAACTACAAGATACTCATTTGAAAGATAAATTTTTATCAGTTGCTTATTATACAAAATAATTTTCACAAAGATGACATTTTAAGATGGTCCCCTGCTGATAAATATAGTAAAACTTGATAAATGTGACCCTGGAGCACAAAAGCAGTCTTAAGTCGCTGGGGTATATTTGTAGCAATAGCCAAAAAAACATTGTATGGGTCAAAATTATTGATTTTTCTTTTATGCCAAAAATCATTAGGATATTAGGTAATGATCATGTTCCATGAAGATATTTTGTAAATTTCCTACTGTAAATATATCAAAACTTAATTTTTGATTAGTAATATGCATTGCTAAGAACTTCATTTGGACAACTTTAAAGGCGATTTTCTCAATATTTAGATTTTTTTGCACCCTCAGATTCCAGATTTTCATATAGTTGTATCTCGGCCAAATATTGTCCTATCCTAACAAACCTTACATCAATGGAAAGCTTATTTATTCAGCTTTCAGATGATGTATAAATCTCAATTTCGAGAAATTGACCCTTATGACTGGTTTTGTGGTCCAGGGTCACATATAAGAAAAAAAAGAGACCACAACTTGTCTTGAAAAAGCAGACTACCTGTGAGTTTCTTGACTTTTTTGGAGTTCATTACTTTAAAAGGGGGGCAATATTAATAAGACAATTTAAATTATTTTTATTATATTATATTAACATTTATATTGTGGAAAAACATGCATATTCATGATGAAAGAAATAGAAAATATATAAATGGATGGATAAAATAAAAAACAAATAGCTGGATTTTTGTTGATGTGTTCAAGCAATGTCTATTTTAACACATATGTCATAAGTAGCATGGGTACATTTCTAGCAATAGCCAAAAATACATTGTATGGGTCAGAATTATTGATTTTTCTTTTATGCCAAAAATCATTAGGATATTAAGTAAAGATCATGTTCCATGAAGATATTTAGTAAATTTCCTACCGTAAATATATCAGAACTTAATTTTTGATTAGTAATATGCATTACTAAGAACTTCGTTTGGACAACTTCAAAGGCGATTTTCTCAATATTTTGATTTTTTTGCACCCTCAGATTCCAGAATTCCAAATATTGTCCTGTCCTAACAAACCATACATCAAGCTTATTTATTCAGAAAAAGCTTATCATTTCAAAAAAATTGACCCTTATGACTGGTTTTGTGGTCCAGGGTCAAATATTAAATGTCTGTATCATCTATTTATTATAATTTTTTTGTTACACATACAGTATGTATATGAGACACACAAATAACACCTGTTTTGTAGAAAGACTCGTGTAACACCACTTACTAGGGGCATATACATTACTTCAGTGTGGGAGGCTCAACAAACAGGTCATTTACAATATTAAAGGCACAATATGTAAGATTTTTTTATTAAAATATCCAGAAACCACTAGAACAGTGTTATATATTTTGCTGACTTGTGTACTTACATTATCCCAAATGTTTCGAAGAATGCTTAAATCCAGAGAAATAAGCAATTTTAACTAGTGACACGGACCTTTCGAGCCGTGTGTCGCGCTCGTTCAGCGGCCTCGTTTCGCTTCGACGGCTTTCAACCTCACCCTGCTTCATTCTACTGCGTTAATAAATCATTAGCTCATCCATGAACATGATTTCTGCCCGAGTCCCGTCGGATTGCTTTGGCTGTGGAGATGAAGACAACAACTCCCATGATTCCACACTCAGTCACTGGGTCATCAAACTACGCCTTTGTCTCTTTGTTTGTTTTGAACACGCGCCCTCTAGTGGCAAAAAATTACATATTGTGCCTTTAATTGGATCAGTCTGGTGCAGGCTTCTCATGCTCCCCTGAGTCAACGGCTAAGGTAAGACAATCAAAGTGCAAAAAAACTAAATATTTGTCCCGGAGGATCCACATGTGATAATAGACTTGATATAAATGCGTTTTCTACAAAAACATGTGTTAAGACTAATGCATGTCTCTCTCTATTTACATACACTAATCAAGATGCATTGTAAGCCATCATTGACACATTTCAGGAGATAAAAATGGCAGTTTCAGTACATTACTATTCCAGTTATACCATGAATGTGGTGATGATTTTATTTTAAGATACTAATCTGCTGTAAAGCAGCTTTATTGACCTTAATGTTGTGCATACATGATTGAACTTGTTCTTATCAATAAATCATCTGCTTTACCCACAGAAACATGCCCGCACATACCCAACAGTCCATCAGTTGAAAAAAGACAGTAAGAGCTCTGGGATGCATTTGGGACAGAGCCAAACATTATTTTTGCTATTCCGAGAGCCACTTTGGATAGTGATGGTTTGTTTTTTGCCCAAATGTGACAACTGGCCTATCGCCCTGGTATAACTACTTACTGGCAAACGTTATATTTTCTCCTTGTGTCTTGCAGGTGAAGGCCGGGTTTGGAGTGAATCTGATCGGGGTTTTTGTGGTGATGTTGGCCATCATGACGTGGGGCGAGCCGCTTTTCCACCTGAGCGAGTTTCCCACCTGGGCACTGATGCGTAACGTCACGGGCAGCTTGTAGCTGTGTTTGATTGAGGACACTGGATATACACTGAAGGAGGCACATATATGCAATTAAAGCCTTATTTTTTATTTTACATCGGTGGAGTAAGAGGACGTCTGTCGGAGGATGCAGAACTGCTCACTGTGACTGAATGATCGGTGGAAACTAGGGATGCACCGATACCACTTTTTCCAGTACTCGCCCGATACCGATACTTTTATTTTTGGTACTTGCCGATACCGATTTCATGTTGAAAAAAATAAAACAATAAAATAGCTGGATTTTTGATGATGAGTTTCGAAAAACTTACTAAACATCTATAAACCAAACATTATTATATTATATTTATATTATAAATGAGAAGTTTTTAAATCATTTATCATCATAATCATAAATCTCATTATGCATGACAGCTGCTGCAAATGCATTTAAATTGTCAAGAGATTCATGTGTAAAATCTAATCATCTCAAAAGATGCAGGACATGCTGAAGTTTCTGCTGAGCGAGCTTCACTCAGGACTATGGACTGACCCACTGGGCAGGACACATGGCTTCAAACTCTCGCTGGTGTTTCTCACAGGCAGATGTTTGGTCTTAATGGCCATCTAGACACTTCCAGAGCTGGTCTCTGGCGCCCCAGCAGGCTTTGCGCTCACTAGCATTAGGAGCGCTCATCTTTCTGCAGGTTTGTCAACAACTGTTAACACTCGCATTGCGCAATATAAATCACGTATCCACATGACATTAACACTAAAGCAGCACTATGTAACTTTTGGCGCTCTAGCGGTTAATAAACAGAACTGCACACATCCCGCGGCATTTCCAAGTTTACGTGCCTACAAGACACAATCAGCGATGTTTGTGTGAAACCACCGATGTAACATATCTGTATGCGTCTATGTCGTGATACATTTGCGTTATTTACTTGAGAGGTTTGAGGGAGATTCTGCATCAGATGAAGTCGCTGTCGCTAGTATCTAACATGCTCTTACCAAAATGTTACATAGTTTTTGGGTTCTGGTTACGGAAGATTGTTTCAAACGTTACAAAAAAATATTCGCAATCGTAAACTGAATAAACCTCTGTGCCGTTGATCGTTGTACATACAGGAAACTAACATTTTGTTATTGTCGGCAGCAAATCGTTGTGATCAATTTATTTCACCTGACATCTCTGAAACCATAATAAAACACTGTATTTTTGGTTCATTTATTTCTTTTGCATTTCAAACATCACAAGCTCAATACAGCACTGATTCATTCCGATAAATTACAAGATGAGACAAAAACACATTGTTTCATATAACTTCTCATTGTCAGAGTCCAGTGTTTTCATTTCCTCCGATGGCTATAATTTTGATGCTCCTTCAGTCGGTTCATAGCCCTGCTTTTGTATTTTCTCCTTGTACTTCAAGAAGTCCCTCTGTTTGACGAAATACTTCACCTGCCATTGAATCACAGCAATCAGTTCACGTAGATTCATAGAGAAATTCAACAGAATATTTCTCTTGAGAAAAAGTGTGCAGAACTGTACTGAATGTGCACTTGTAGTGTACTTCAAATCTTCAAAGTATATATATTTTAAAAACTGTTCTTGTAGATAATATATTACTAAAATAAAAGGCTACTTAAGTGTACTTAAAGAGAGACACTTTCATGAAAAGTGATCAGTGTAGCACAGATGACATTGTGTGATGGTCCCCTGCTGATAAATATATACACAAGTAGGTATAACTTGATAAAAAAAAATAAGAAAATATTTATTTGATCTTTAGAGTAAAGCACTTTAAAACTGGGAAAATATTATGAAGACAATTTCAATAAAACATTATTTTAACTAAAAACTATACACATTTAATTTTTAAAAAATCTGTTTTCTTTACGCTGTTATATTATTTTATATTACATGATATAAAATAAATTTCAACTGTTGAAACGGAGCCTATTCATGTTGAAAAAAATAAAACAATAAAATAGCTGGATTTTTGATGATGAGTTTCGAAAAACTTACTAAACATCTATAAACCAAACATTATTATATTATATTTATATTATAAATGAGAAGTTTTTAAATCATTTATCATCATAATCATAAATCTCATTATGCATGACAGCTGCTGCAAATGCATTTAAATTGTCAAGAGATTCATGTGTAAAATCTAATCATCTCAAAAGATGCAGGACATGCTGAAGTTTCTGCTGAGCGAGCTTCACTCAGGACTATGGACTGACCCACTGGGCAGGACACATGGCTTCAAACTCTCGCTGGTGTTTCTCACAGGCAGATGTTTGGTCTTAATGGCCATCTAGACACTTCCAGAGCTGGTCTCTGGCGCCCCAGCAGGCTTTGCGCTCACTAGCATTAGGAGCGCTCATCTTTCTGCAGGTTTGTCAACAACTGTTAACACTCGCATTGCGCAATATAAATCACGTATCCACATGACATTAACACTAAAGCAGCACTATGTAACTTTTGGCGCTCTAGCGGTTAATAAACAGAACTGCACACATCCCGCGGAAGAACATTCCAACCGGAGCTACTTCTCTAAGTTTATGTCTATGGCGATTCACGCAGGTATGTGTTACTCCGCAGCGGTGACTACCCGACCAGGCTACAATGGTCCAAATATAAGTACTTATTATAAGTGTACCGTAGTGATTCGGAATAAGACAAAAACGCGGTTTGGAAGATTGATTCATGATGTACTCGCTCATTATATACATTTAGCAAATTTTGAACACAGAAAAAGTTACATAATGCTGTTTTAATAAAAAGAACGTGTTTAATTATCAGTATACTGATAGACAGTAGCATATCTCTACGAGAGTACACGTTATTATTTACATGAGAGCGAACTGTGGCTGACAGTCCAGCTCCGTAATGAAAGTATAATATTCTAAGCACTTACCAAAGACGGTTCATCACTTCATATGCTTTCTGTAATTATTATTAAATTAATAATTGTTAATTAATCATATTCTGAAGAGCAAAGAGTCCCAAGGACGCGTTGAGCATGTAGGAAGTAGCAACTAAACATGTCGCCTTCTGATGATGACCGCAAGCCGTTGAGTAAACAGTAGTTCGTTCAGTGACCGCTAGATGGTGCACTTGAACCACTTTAATTTCAGATCTAAGTTTATTGTTATTTCTAAGTTGATATATACACGCAACAAAATTACTAAAACTTTAATCTCTATAATAATAAGTATAATAATAAGTATTTAATCTCTATAATAAGTATCTCAATAATACTAAAACCACACTTTAACTGGGTGATGACATCCCTGAATCATCAATGAACTGACTTTAGCTGGATAAATAACTCTTCTTGCATTATTGATAAACTGTTTTACACACAATCAGTATTGTATAAAGTGCTATACAAATAAAGGTGACTTGACTTGAGATATATATAAATTTATTTATTTTAGATTTGATGGTTTGTTTTATTTTTATGCTTGATTAAATATATATATATATATATTTTTTAACATTAACATTTAATTAAATATTTATTTGTTTGTATTTTATTTTACCCATTTGACAACTTGTCGTTGTTTGCTTGTTGTTTTCACAAATGATGGCAAGAAAAAATAATATCTGGCCATTTGAAATAAGTGAAAAACATTGAAAATTTGCTCTTCTTGTCAGACTGAGCCGATGTTTTTTAACATTTGCTCATTGATGTCTGTAATGTTGGCCCTCATTACTGGCTCCAGAAGTGTCTGTTGATGCTACAATAGTCTAAACTCAAGGATTTCAGACAAACTAATGGAAAAATCCCTGAATCATCAATGAACTGACTTTAGCTGGATAAATAACTCTTCTTGCATTATTGATAAACTGTTTTACACACAATCAGTATTGTATAAAGTGCTATACAAATAAAGGTGACTTGACTTGAGATAGATATAAATTTATTTATTTTAGATTTGATGGTTTGTTTTATTTTTATGCTTGATTAAATATATATATATATATATATTTTTTAACATTAACATTTAATTAAATATTTATTTATTTGTTTGTATTTTATTTTACCCATTTGACAACTTGTTGTTGTTTGCTTGTTGTTTTCACAAATGATGGCAAGAAAAAATAATATCTGGCCATTTGAAATAAGTGAAAAACATTGAAAATTTGCTCTTCTTGTCAGACTGAGCCGATGTTTTTTAACATTTGCTCATTGATGTCTGTAATGTTGGCCCTCATTACTGGCTCCAGAAGTGTCTGTTGATGCTACAATAGTCTAAACTCAAGGATTTCAGACAAACTAATGGAAAACAAGGTGTTTCAGAGAGATATTTGCCACTGAATGAATAACAATCTTCTGAGGCTTTTCGGATTTGATGCCTTTGATTTGATGTCGTCCTTCATCAAGAGTCAATATTAAGAAAGAAAGTTGTTTTCGCTGCTCTATTCATAAGTTCCCCCTCGTGCTCCTGATCGCAGTGACTCATCGCAGCCATTATCAAACAGGAATTAATTGTGTGGGAATGCTAGTGAAAGTGAGCTCTTTTGTAGGGACAGAGAGCGGCCATTGTTCAGCGCTGAATATTAAAGAAAGACGAGCACAAACATTTGAGCTCTCAGATAAACCCTCAACCGTTTCAAAGATTGTTTTCTTCCATAATTAACCAATCACCAACAAACCTTCAGATCCTCGAGGATTCCAGTGAAAAAATGAAAATCTGTCGGATGAAATAATCTGACTGTAAGAGACGTGTTTAGAAGGAGTGTCTTTTCCAACCTGAGTGACTTTTGTGTTCCCCTTTTGTAATCATTCACAAACCACAACACCCTAGCAACCAACAAAGTACCCTGGTAACCACCCAGTAATGCCTTAGCAACCACCAATACACTCTAGTAAAAAAATCAACAACCACAAAGCACCCTAGTAACCACCAAAGCATCCTGGTAACCACCTAGTGAGGACTTCACAACCACCAATGCACCATAGTAACTGCATAGTAACCACAAAGCACCCTAAAAGCCACCTAGCAGTGCCCTAGAAACCACCAAAGTTTCCTGCTAACCACCTAGCAATGCCTTAGCAACCACCAATACACTCTAGTAACCACATTGCAACCGCATAGCACTGGTAACCACCCACGGCATTCACCTAGTGATACTTTCACAACCACCAGTTCACCCTAGTAACCACATAGCAACCACAAAACACCCTAATAACTACATAGAAACGCCCTAGCAACCAAAACATTCTGGTAACCAGCTTGTAATGCCCTAACAACCACAAATACACTATAGTAACAAAATAGCAACAACAGAGCACCCTGGTAACCACATAGCAATGCACTAGTAACCACCAAACCATCTTGGTAACCAGCTTTTAATGCCATAGCAACCACCAATGCATCATAGTAACCACACAGCAACCTGAAATCACCCTGGTAACTACCTAGTGGTACCTTCACAACCTGAAATCACCCTGGTAACTACCTAGTGATACCTTCACAACCACAAAGCACCCTGGTAACCACACAGTGATACCTTCACAACCACAAAGCACCCTAGTAACCGCAAAGCAAACACAAAGCACCCTAGAAACCAGCAAAGCATCCTGGTAACCACATAGTAATGCCTTAGCAACCACTAATACACTCTAGTAACGACATAGCAACCACATAGCACTGGTAACCACCCTGGTAACCACCTAGTGATACTTTCACATCCTCCAGTGTACCCTAGTAACTGCATAGCAACTACAAAGCACCCTAATAACTACATAGCAACGCCCCAGCAAGTAAAGCATTCTGTTAATCAGCTTGTAATACCTTAGCAAACATCAAAGCATCCTGGTAAACACACAGCAACCACCAAGGCATCCTGTTAGCCACCTAGTAATAGGCAGAGTACAAGTAGAGTGGTAGATCCTCCCAACCTGAGCAGCCCGAGTGACTTGTGTTCCACTTGTGTTAACTTTGAAGCGATGATTCTTTCATCTGGCTTTTTTTTTTTTTTTTTGATGGTCTGTGGTGTGTGATTATAGGTAAGTGTGGGGCTGTTTGGTTTGTTTTCTGTCTGTTTTCTCTCTCAGTTGCTAAGGAACTGAGATGTGGCATAAGTTGCAGTCACACATCTGAGTTTCAGCACCTATTAGCGATCAAAGTGATTTCAGTAATGCGCTGTGTTTTAATAGTTTAATAAGTGCGCCCTGGGGACCAGCACAGCAAATCATCAAATTAGCATCCCGTAAAGACCCGAGTCAGGAGCCCGTAGGAGCATGATAAATGACTTTAAACTGCTGCAGCTTGTGAGGATCACACTTACTGTTTCATGTGTCAAAACTTTCATTAATAACAGTAAATAAAAGCAAAAAGTACATTAAAGCAATGAATATAAGTGCATGTGTGCTTATAATAAATATATAACTTAATGACAATAAAACAAATGACAAGAAATATAACCAAATTTAAAACTGGAAATATAAAAATAAATGCAAATTCAAAATATTAATAAAAATTATAATAATATATAAATAATCCTAAAATAACAATAACAATAAATAACGTCAAGACAATATAATTATTACATTAAAATATACCCCCCCCCGGATGCCAGAGGCAGAGGGATTATGGGTTATTCAACCAATGGTGGAGCTTTTTTGTGTGTGTTTTGCTTTTTTGTGTGATTAGAATTCACACACTACGCTCCTCTTTTCAGCATGTGTGCATGTGTGGTGTGTTTTGATTTTTCTTCTCTCTGAGGTGGACAGAAAGAGACAGTGGTGTGTGTTGTCCTGGCATTGCGCTTCAGAAGAAAAGCCCCCAGCGCTCTTCCTTTGGGCCTCTCTCTCTCTTTTAGACTCAAGGAGGCCTGATGTCACATTTCAGAGATTTATTTCAATGCCATAGTGTGCTGTGTGAGGGATGGAGTTTGTTTCATGAATGGCTTTTATCAAACCCTGGGGATGCTAATCAACACACTGTTCCTGCAGAATAAACCTTCACGCGACTCAGCGGTGTGTACAGAGTGCAGAAATGCTGCTATTTGTCCAGTGATTTTTGTTTTTTTTTTGTGGGAGAAAAAATTTAAAAAAGAGTATGTTTCAAACCACAGTGTTTTAGTTCTGAGCTTTTTCGGGTTTAGTGATTTGAACAAAGTCCTAACATCAAGTAATAAACTTTGGTACTGCCATTATTTCCCTGCATTGCTTGTGCTAAAAATGCACAAATAATGCAGCTTATTAAGGAGAAAGATACTATTCTTTTCTAAGCAATCAGAGTTTATGATTTTTGCCTTGTGGATGATAAAACTGTTGAAAAAAAATCTATAGACCACACACAACACCCTCGCAACCACCAAAGCACCCTGGTAACCTCCTAGTAATGCCTTAGCAATCACCAAAACATCCCGGTAACCACATAGCAACGAGAAAGCACCCTAATAACCACCTAGCAACACTAGAAATCACAAAAGCATCCTGTAATGTCTTAGCAACCACCAATACACCCTGGTAAACACATAGCAACCACAAAACATTGGAAACCACCCTGATAGCCACCTAGTGATGTCTTCACAACCACCTGAGCACCCTAGTAACGGCACGCTTCTTTGCGCTAGCCCGTAGAGATCTCCCCTTCGTCGAGTATGCCAGGGAGTTCTGCGGGCTTTAGATGACGCCACCATCAACTCTTTGTTCTGGCACGGGGCTAATTACCATCGCCCCGTGGACCTCCCAGACGCCATGGCTTCCTAGTCTGCCTGCTCCGCCATGGCGCCTCGAGCTGCCTGATCCGCCATAGGTCCCGGAACGGGTACCGCCCTGGAGGCCGTCCATCCCTGAAAGCTTGTCCTGAGAGGCCTCCAGAGTGCCCACCCCCCCTCCCCATTGGATGTTGTACGGCACGGGACGCGCCTTCCGGGAGGGGGGAGTAATATCAGACTCTGTTCTCCCCGTTGGTTGTTATGAGGTGCGTGGACACACCTTCTGGGAGGGGGGAGTAATGTCAGACTCTGTTCCTGTCTTGTGGTGTGTTCTCCTCCCCCACATGCTCCATGACCCAGTTTTCCCTCATGTTTGATTGTTT